TTGTTCAGGCACTAAAACCGGTAGAGCTACACACAAGCTACATGGTTTGATTGCTTAGAAAACAGCAGCAACTCATTAAAGAATGGCGATTCTCACTGCATAGAAAGCTTAAAATATGTTTGAGTTGGAAAAGCCTCTTATGACATTATCAACTTGCAGAACTATATCCTACTTTGGATTTTTCAAGGCATTGCCAAAGCAGCATTCCATTTATACCTTGTTTTTAAACCTTTAAGTGATTATTGGCATTGTAGGTGTTTATATGGTCATTTAGCCAAACTGCTTTGTACATGTGTAACTTAAAACTATGAATTCCTGTATTTCATTAGATTGTTCTTCACATTCCTTGAATGCGTGGAACAGGGGAATGTAATAGTCATTATTAGTTCATATTTTTTTTTAATACAAGTGTACTGTGTATTGAATTATATTTCAGTTATCTGCACTTTCTGTTGACTGCCAGTCTTTGGTCCAGGCCCTTCAGGAATTGCCTCTACATCTGAGGTTGAATGTAGCTGCTGAACTTGTGCAGGTAATGCTGTGAATTTTCACAAGAAAATGCAAATATTTTAAGTGAAACAATCTATGCAAGAATGGCTACTTTAAACTTGGTCTTCAAACATAAGTAGAATGTATTTTATAAGTAAATACATTTCTTGAAACTGGCATGTCAAATGGCATGTAATGCAGGATACCCCTCTATCAGCACTTCTTATGCTTTGTTGGCTTTAAATAGAATGCTTCAATGTGCAGCACATGAGATTCGAAGCCAGGTATCAGTGTTTGACATGGAATGATTGCACTGGTTTTGTATTTGCTTCTCTTCTTAGCAGCTGTTAAAAGCTTGCACCAAAATTTTGAAAGTGCTTTCACATTCTTTTCTGTTAATTATTTTAACTGTGATTTACTCTTCTACATAGCTAATATCATCATACATGTTTATTCTATGAATCAAACTTACATCAGTGTTAGAACAGGTAGAACTGTCAATCAAACAAGTGCAGAAAATGTCAGTTATGCTCTGGTGAAAAAAAGAAAGCAACAGAATATTAGGAAAAAATGTTTCTTCAGGCTGTGAAAAAGAAAATATTCATTTAAGGGCAAAACAACCAATAAGATGTAAATACAAAACCAAAATTCTTAAAAAAAATCCATCTGCTCAAGCAAGGAAAAAGAAACACGACCCTTATGGAAGAAATTTTACTTCTGTTTGGAGTTGCATGAAGCGCTTCAGTGACTGACACCACTATGCTTTTTCTTAATGGAGCTCAAATATATCTGCAGATGTGATGTCTAAGGGATTGCTTTCAAAATGTTGCTTTCAAATACAATTTTCTTCTTCAGAGTTCTAGTCACGGTCTTTAACTTTTATCAGGGTTATAAAGTGTATGTTATGACATTTAATCTTTGTCTCATCGTTCTGTCCGGTGATGTGGTTATCAGATATGCTGCAGTGTTATTAATGCCAGGGCATCCTGATAAAAGCAGAATCTGTGTTCCACAGTTAAATAATGAGTTGCCATTTCTTGTTTCACTATTTGATAACGTTTTGTAATTTGGTTTCATTTTTCAAAATACACCGCTATATACTATAACTTTTGCTAAATGATTTTCAGCGACCTGTAGTATGGTTTGCTTTCAAGACTGGAATTTTGGATGGAAGGCCTAACATGGGATAATGTTTCTAGCCAAATTCTGACTTTAGTTATTCCAAAATTCAGAATATTGATGGGATTTCATTACAGAAGAATTAAAGAAAAGTAACTCTCCAAGAAGTATTTGTGAACAATGGAACTTGCTGATTTAGCATACAATCTCATATTCTGTAATAAGGGATAAAAGGAGTTTGTATTTTTTAGTTGCTTCTGTAAAAGTATCATCAAGATAACTTTAGTTTACTTTTAGTTCTGAATTCAATTCTGCTGAAATTCGTTGTACCTTCTTAAGTGATCAAATATAGGAAGTATGAACTACAATCCAAATTAGACAGAATGGAGTTAATCGTTAGAAAGACTCAAGTCCTTTCTTGTACTCTTAGGCATCAACACCTGTAGAGCTCCCACAGATGAAATCTAAAATTATTGAAGACAGCAAGAGGAGAGAGCTCCTGTTCCGACAGTCTCTGGCTCAAAGTGAAACGGTGTTCGTCTCCCATCCCATTGGTGAATCTGTTGCTCCATCAGAGCCTGGAAGTAAAAATGGTCCTAGGGCAAGTGCAGCAGAACCATTTCAGAGAGCCCATCCACTATCAAAGCAAGAGACTGACCATTTGGATGAAGAACTAGATCTTCTCCTAAATCTAGATGCTCCCATTGATACAGAAAACAGACCTGTGTCAGATGCGTTATCCTGTAACATATCAACCAAGAAAGATTTGAAAATGGATTGTAAGGAAAACGGTAAGATTTCTCTTCTCCCCGGCATGCCCTTAGTTAATTTCCATTGCGCTCTCTTTTGGTGATGTTTTTGACCTCTTGATTAGCTAGTCAACAGTACTGCTGTCATCATCTGTCATACTGCATTTCATTTATCTGGGGCTGTGTTCTGACCCATTTGTTCCTTTTCAATTTTAACTCCCCACTGAACTGAAGTTTCACCATTGTCAGTTCATTTTAAGCATTAAGAGAAATTATTCTGCAGAACAGCATTGGTCTTATGATTCAGCAAAATTTTAAATTAAAAAAAAAAATTAATGTACTGCTAGAGAATTTTAGTGAGAGGAAGATAAAATAAAGTCTTTATATAACATTATCAGCCTTTAGTTCACTCTGCTAATTGTATACAGAATTGACAGCTATTTCTGATGGCTTGTTATAAATGCTATTTTCCAACTTTACTAGCAATGATTTTACAAAACTAAGTTTAGTATGGAAACAAAACATACACAACAATTTTCATATTTCAGAAAAATCGGCAAACCCTTCCTTTTGTTTGCATTCCTAGAAGTTACGTTTGTACTATTTGTTTGTTTTAATGGAGATGGTTTGCTACTCCTCCCCAGTCTACAATGCTGTAAAAGAATTTTTAGCATCTCTGATTTTTTGTGTATGATTTTCTTGCTATCTTAAAAATTAAGTCCAAGATGGTTGAACATGTAAGACGTCACCACAAGCAATACAGCAAGTCTTGTTACTGAAGACAATCTTGAAATGCTCTTTCATTTCAGTGGTATGTCATGCTTTCCACTCCAAAGCACAGTGTAAATCCCTTAAGAAAACAATGCCATCAGAACATGGAATCATATCATGCTGTAATAATCATGCAGGGCAATCTGCTGTTGTGGCCTCCTGCTCCTCTCCTACATTAAAGTAAACTCTCCATCAGACAGGATTGCGAAGAGCTCGCAGTAGGAGATCACTTATAATCTGTCTGCTGCAGACCAGGCCCAGCCCCCCTTGGATCAGAGGGAAGCCACATTGTTCTGGTTGAGCTTATTAAGCTGCCTCATTTTTTTTATTGTTGCTACTATTTTTAGACTATGACTCGCTATTCATCAAGAAAGAGAGATTGTGTTTAAATAGAGTCATTGTGCATTAAAAAGCAAAATGATCTGGGACAAAGAGAGGGTATGGAATTGTTTCCAGATTTTGAAGTCTGTTCTTTTCACTTTTCCAGACCCCTTAAAACTAGATATGCCTGAAGAGGAGAGTATAGCATCGCAGCAACAGCAAAGTACATCTAAAAATGTCACTGAGGAAGAGCTTGAAGATTGGCTGGACAGCATGATTTCCTGAAGCTCAAATTTTCTTATGTGAATAACTGAAAATAGCAAACATTAAGTAGAAAGCTGATTCTTCCTTTATCTCCTCGTTATTTCCTTTATCTATCTGTTTCACTTCGTTCACTATGCCAAATGCCCGGTTTTTTTTTGCTGGCACCTAAAATTCTGTGCAACCAACATTCATGTAGATGTGATTGAAAATTGTCTAAGACTAATATTCTTAGAAAGGTCTAAAATTTGTGATGAAATTAGGATTTTGTTTGCTAAAGATGCAGGCTACAGCACACTAAGAGAACAGTTACTTCAGCTTGTACTTGCTCTACGTAGTCCTTAAAATAAAGCTATGAATGAACAATGAATACATGTGGTTTTTAGTCACCATCCTCATGCCACATCTCCATATTGTAGAAAAATGAGAAAGAAGACAGTGACGGTAATATTTGGTTTGTAATACTTTATTGCAGTGGGCACTTTTTATTAGAAGAAAAAAATGCATAATCCTAGCAGCTTCTACTTGCAGGTGACCATAGAGCATTGTTTTATTTTGGCCTAAGGTTTAAATTGTATTCATTTTGATACAGTGTATGTCTTTTAACAGCAGCTTCTAATAAGCTGTTATTGAAGGTAGTATATAAACAAACTTCAAGTGCCATTTCATACAGAAAGACAGAAAAGCAATACAGTTAATGGATCTGTTCATCTAGAACACTAATATAAATAAAAAGTTTGCATAGCTATGTCTACAGAGGTTTTAAGGCACTTAATGTTTCAAGGTCGAAGTGTTTGAAAATGTTTTCTTTTTAACCGCTTAAAGCTTTTCAAGCTGTATCTTAATACATTCACTAGCACATACTGGGGGGAAAAACTGGACAGCAGTTAGGTAAAATATTTTCTCTGAGGCATGGCCTCTGATGTTCAAGTCCTTAAATGTCAAATGTTGTGCAATTAAGACACCTTTTAGCCCTTTCAACTGTACTGCCAAACACTAGGTTAATGATGTGGTTAAAAAGTTGTTACAATTTCCGACTATGTTTGAACTGGAAGGCTTAAGTCAATCTGGCATAGTTCTCTCTTTTCTAATTAAAATTCCAACAAAAAAACTGTTTCATATGTGGTAGGTACAAAAAGCCTATGAAATAGTGTCAAATTTTATGTATGTCTTGAAGTTTAAAGACATTTACAGCAAATACAAGCTGTGGAATTACACCATGAAAAGAAAAGAAGTTTTTTTGTATACTGAATCTTAACAGTTCATGAGTAAATAATTTCTTTTGTGATATTAGCCAAGTTGATCTTCATACTGTTTCCGGAAGCAGTCCCCTGCTGGGAAGAAATCCCAACATCTTTCTTGGTACATCTTCCACACAAATGACTCCTGAAAATGATAAAGAGTATTTATTTTAACAGATACCTTGCAGTTAGTGCTCTAGATAAACTTTTAACAATACCCAGGTACTGTGCCTATTACCATGGAGTAGGACTGTGAAGACATTGAATCTCAAAGATCGTAACTCAAGAACGTTTGTAAAAGTATTGTTCTGTACTTTTCTTGATTCAGTACTACTGAAATTCAAGCCCTATTAGAAAAACTGTGTAAGTGTAAATTAATCAGTCTAGTTAGAGCAAACCTGTACACAATCTGTTTATATAAAATGTGTTTTAGTTTACTTGGTGTAAGGTACTTCTGTAGTGTTTCCATTACAGCTTCTTCTTTGAGATAAGATATAATTAAATCCTATTTATTTTCTTATTTATTTCCTTTTAGGGCCTAACAACACTAAACATATGTACACACATCCATATACCTATCTGTGTGTGTATGTGTGTATATATATGGATCTAGACTACAAATACAGTAGCTTAACTACTTAATCTTTTGGGAATAAACTACAACTGGTATATTTCAGGGTTTCATTTCAGAGATAAGATGACAGTAAGATTACTAGTTAACTGACTTCTGCCAGAGTTCAGTGCTGGGTAGAATAGCACACTGCTGCAGCCCACCCCCTCCCTTTTTTTTTTTCACCCTTTTCTTTCACTCGCAGAAGACTGTTGGCGGCGAGTGGGGGTGGGGGGTGGCATCATCTCCACTCCATGGTGGTACATCAGTTCCACCTGGTGGTACACAACTACAAGGCTGGAGAAGATAAAAACGTTGAAAGATAATCTTAAGAAAAAAAAAATTAAGTTTTATTTTCTACTCACCTGGCCAGTATGCTCAGTTTCATCCTTGTTAATGAGATACATTAAAAAGAACCTGAAACAAGCACATGAAGCGGTTATTAATGCAGAAGACATAACATCTCTGCCTAACCTTTCCTAGACTGGGGAGATTATGCTATGTAATGATACTGCTAGGCATCTAAAGTGCTTATGTAAAGGAGAAAATTCTCCAGCACTTCTCCTGTGGAAGTGCTAATGTGTAAAATCTGTAGAAGTGGAAAAACATGGTTAGCATTTTCTTCATTTCAGTGCTAGGAGCAATACCTGAATTAGGCATATGCCAACTCCTATACACATATGCTCCAACATCTCGCCTTGGAAGAAGTTAATATAGCTACTGTGCAAGAAATTGCCCCAAGATTTCCAAACACTCATGCTATACAGCTCATGAGCTGAGCCTATCTCAGATACCTGTGCTCACTCAAATGTAGAGAGCTTGAACTAATTAGGAAGGCTGTAGAGTACAAACAATGGTCTGTTGTTATGTGACACAACTCTTGGTTAGCCACTTTTGATGCAGTGCATTTGGAATTAAACTTGGTATGTGCTTTCATTGTAAAGAAAGGAATGTATACTGACTTTAACATTTGTGTAATTAAAGGGCAACCTGGTTAGAAAGATTGTTCACTATATATTATAATATTAAGGAAGTGGCCATTTTTAATTTACTGTGAATTACAGGTTCCATGTACCAATTCAGCAATTCAATATAGTAAGAAAAGCTTGGAGGTTGTAGACTGGTAAAACTATGGATGTTAATGAAAATTTGCCTCACAAAAGAAACGTGCATTGATTTTGCAGTGTCAGTTGCTATGCAAGGAATAATGCAGCCCCCACTCCAGCAGGACTCTTTTTTTTTTTCTTTTTTTTTTAAATTTAGGAAGTTCAGCTGCAGTATTCCGAAGCCAGACTTCTATAAAATACCACCAGTTCAGCTCCTTTGGTTCTGCTGGCACAATGCTCATGTAATTATCGTTGTTCTAGGAGTAACTAATGCCACCAAATTAACTCTTTAAATACCCTCCTTGATCTGCTCTGTATTTACTAATGAAAGTAGAAGATCGCTGTCTTGGGAGTCTGGGCAATAGTCTAAACACATACAACTCCTGATTGCTTCGAGGTTTTGCAAAGCTGCATTATCACTAAAGAACTATAGGACCAGACTTGTGTATTATTTTTTGTAGCTTATCTTTCAGGAATCTTCCAGAAATGCTTTTTTTTGTTTGTTTTGGTTTGATGTTTGGTTTGGGTTTTCTTTTTGTCAAATTGAGGCTAATTTTCAACGATCTCATCAATGTTACCAAGCCCTCAGAAGTCACAATCAAAACTTACAAACTAAAGCAACTTATTAAACTGTTGTTCCCTATCATTGCACATATCTGGGTTTCCTTCCAGAGGAATAAGGAGTTGGTGTGCCTTCAGGTCTCACTCCACTAAGGTAGTTCATGTGTAAGGTGAGAACTTTAAAGATAAGCAGCAGCGTGGAGTAGAGGAGGGGAGACTAGAAAGGAATGGAGACATTCCTCAGTTCTACAGAATTTTGTTTTAGGATTGTCAGCAATGTGTGCACCTAAATTACTCTGGAGCTGAAAGGTGTCTCTGTCGTAATTCCAGTAGTAAAATATACTTACAGATAGTTTGCCAAGTTGTGTTCTTGCAAAGTATGTGTTTCAAAGCCATGTGGGGTTGTGTCAAAATAGTCATTGCCGATTCCACAAATAAAACATTTGGTCTGGAAACACAAGTTGTGGTTACAAATGAATTTTAACTCAAAGACACTATTTTAACTGATAACAATCTAAATGAATAAGAGTAATAAAAAATGTAGTGTGCTTACTCATACCTCCATATCTTCTCTCACTTGTTCTTGCTGGTCTCTTAATTCACCAAAAGCATCAATAATCAGACCTATTTCAAATGGAAAAGTAGCAACACTTCAGTACTTAGCAATATTCATATTTCAAGTAATGTCAGACATCCTCCACTGTCTTTGGAGTTTAGCATACTTATGTCTAGGTTGAACAATTCAAGTTACAGTCTATCAATTTCCAGACATCTAACATTTGTTTACACTGCACTCCTAGCAGTAAGAATTTCTCTTACATAGAAGTACAATCTCGAAAGTGGAAAGGCTTTTCTGAACTTAGATTTTGGTCAGTTTAAGCTTCCATAATCTCATCTCTTTCGTTCCCATGAAATAATTTAATTTTCATTCTCCTTCTCATGGAACTCTTGTATCCCAACTTTTGTTCAACGAAGACGACTCTACTCCCACAGGCCCCCTGGCCAGTTTGTGATGCTGCTTCACATTTGAAGCTTTATTCCTCCACTTCCAACATATTAAGAATAGAGTTGGATCATTTTGGGGACTGTGACATTCATAACTTTTTCTCAATATAAATGTATTACGTTTTTCTTTGCCACCAGATTGCCATAAAACGGCGTTTTTTTCCTAACAGCCTTAGGTCAGTTTATACAATGAGTGTTGAATACTGACAGTCATTGAAGAGAGGTCTCATTCTCTGTAAACCACAACTGCAAACCAATTAAAACTGCAAATCATCCTCTAAAGAAAGGGGGAAATGGGTATGTGGCCATGGTGACTTTCTCCATGTCATTTCCCCTTTCCAAGGGGAAAGTCTCCATTCCCCAGCCAGCTGTGGTGGTTCCAAACCAAAGGTGTGAAAAGTGTCTACAGCAAGGCTCTCCAAGTTTAAATGGTTATTATAGGAAGAACAGTGATCCTGCACAAGCTGCGTCACTGCTGGATAGTTGTCAAAGTGTTCATAAACACTGCAACCCAGGGAAGTTATGCTTCTTGTGCTTTGTCTTTGTGTGGTACTTGGGACAGTGCATTATTTATGAATTAAGTATGAAATTATTATTTTCAGAATTAATGATTTTATCAGCTCAGAAATGAGTCTTTATAGCAATACTGCTGAATTTACCTCCAACACAAATATGGTTTAAATACGTTGCAGAACTTAAGTAGGCTAAATTCTAACAGTCTCTACTAAGGTAAGTGACAGTACCTTGAATAATGGCCAGTAGGATAACGATGACAAAGAAGAAAAATGTGATGTCAAAGACAATTCGATACATTTCATAAGGGTCTCCAGCAGGATCCTCAATTTCATCTCCTATGCCACCACCAGCTCTTACACCCACATACATGTGGAACAGGTAACACTAAAAAAGAGAGGAAAATTACAGATATATTTACCATGAATGATTCTGTTTGTTTTCTTTTTCGTCTTTTTAAAATGATTCTGTTCTGCTAATTCTCTTCACAAGCTATAGCACCAGAGAACACACAATATCATTCCTCATGGATCACACACACTGCACCAAAAATCTGTTACTGTCTTACAAGTACGCTTACTAAGAGTGGGAGTCAGCATCAGCTGTTACCCTCTCCTCACTCCCTAGGTGTTACTTACAGACTAAGACCATTTGGGGGGCATTCTTGTATTTGTTACTGTATTCAACTATATTCTACCCCTTATGTTAATTCTTAAGGTTCTAGCTTGCTCTGAGTAAGCAGAGGACATCTTTTAAAATCTTGTAATGGAGTTTAGAAATGTTGGCAAATATTGCCACAAAATAGATAGTGACCCATTCACAACAGGTAGATCTATCTATGTTTAGGTGGTGTCTGGAAATTTTTGTTTTGCAATACTAGATGTCTGGTTTAGTATATTGTAAATTATTTCTGATCGGGGAAACATAGCCTGTGTTCAGTTCAATGCAGAAGAAATCACTTTACAAAAATGTTGCTGTGTGTCATATTTTTTTGAACATGTAAGTCTTCATGGAAAAATCTCTAAAAATCTGGATATTTAAGCTTTGTAAGTATATTACAATGGAATCTTCTGCTGGAGTGATACACTGCGGATGTTCCTGTATGAATCAGCTACAGAATCTTGTAAACCATCTTCAGCCACACAATGTGGGTTAAAAACAACGGAAATATCTAAGCCCAGCCAGTGTTCTGAAGTCACATTAGACAGCAATGTTGGTGTTTAATAATCAGCATAAAATCTGACAAATCTGGTGTTTCATAAGCAAACACTAAACAGAACTATATACATCCATTTTTATAATGCAACTTTACTGTTGACGTAAGATGCTGGTACTAGTTTAATCATACCTAAAAATGTAACTTGGAATTGATTTACCTCACTTGGAAGAGTGGTTTAAAATGTAATACAGTTTCATTATTCCAATTACTCCTACATCTAATGACCGGACCATTGTATCCAACTTGCAGAGGGACCAGTTAAATAATACTGGTTGGGCTGTTTTCACATTTTCTATCTTTTGCACACCTGACTTGCAGTGTGCAAACTTGAGTGTTTGAAAGAAAGTTCAACAATAGGGAAGATCATTTTGTGAAGTCTATGACACACCTCTGTTCTGAGGTATTTTATTCTATCTTTGGTATATAACACAGGGCAGAGCGTGACTATTCCATGGAAGAAATGAACTGGCCACAAACTCAGAATATTACATTTTTAATACCTGAATTTGTGCTGTTTTCTGTATACAGTAAAAAAATCAAATCCTCTTCATAACATAATATGTATCTGTAGAGTATCTTTTAATATGACATAAATAACATTCTGTGGCAACAGGTGGAAATCAGAAGGGAAATCAGTAGCATTAGGTTACCACCCATAATAAGTTTTTCCCCCTTCTCTACTCACCCTTGACTTCTTACTTCATGACTAAATTACTAATTGTAAGAACTTTGGAGCAGGCTTTTATAACTAGTGCTAATAACATCATATACTTCATATAACCTAAATAAGGATAGGAAGAGCTTGCACACTTGCAAACATTGGGAACAAATTGGGTTTATTTATGCTGTGACAACACAGCTTCTTTTTGCAGGGCTGTCCAGTTTGTCATGAAATTTCTTCCATATACCTTAAGGGTTTTCCATATACCTTAAGGGTTTTCCATCTTCACATGTAAAAGAGTTGCATCAAATCATATACCACAGAGTATTTAGGAGAAAAATCCAGAATGTCTTCCTATACTGGTGAGTGTCATCTATCCCCTGTTGAGCTTAGACCACTGGAGAATGCAGAGGGAATTACACCACCATTCACATTTTCAAAATGACATATAGTAAGACGAAGAGACCCATGGATTTAACAGCAAAAACATCCCTCCCTTGCTTATCATTTTATCTTAAGTATCAATTTGAAAATTCAAGATGAAATTTGAAGCATGCTAGTATGTTTTAGTTACCGTCATCATGTCATCACATTTCATGTCTGGTTCATCTTCATCTTCACTTTTGTTGTAGAATTTGCGGAAGAAGTTGAACGCCACAACAGTGTAAAGATACACTACTACAGCAAGGAGTCCTACAGTAAGCACAAGCTGTGTATGGAGACATGACATGAAAGTAGGTTTCAATTTCATTCTGTCAGAAGAGATATCCTAGCTCAGTGTATTGCCTTAAGTATTGAAAATGTATCATGTTGTACCTTTCCCAAAAAGGAAACTAAAAATAGCAGTTATGGTAGCTTTGAGGTGTCCCTGTTGCTTGGGTCAGTATAGAGGTGTTACTTACCCTGCTCTCATGTGAAAATCAAAGGGAAAACCAGTAAAGTTTCCATCTTTCCGAGCTATATGCATACAAACTATATATCACTGAAGCAACGTTTCCACTATTTAATTTAAAAGTTACATTCTAGTACCTTGAAAAACTGGATATACAGTGAAAATCAAATGTTGTTAATTTGATAAACAATTTCAACTGGGACTTATTATGACTTATCATAGTCTACTTTCTGTTCCAAAGCGAGTTAGCAAAGCCATCGATAAAGTGGATAGAAAATTTTTTAGATAACCAAAGAGGAAGTAATTTCCAGGTCCTGTTTTTAAGCAAATAAAATCCTTAGGTGAAAAATTTCAGCCGTTAATGAGACTAGATTATATTGTTTGTTGGAGTTGGCATTAGAAGATGCAACTCTGGAGAGGAGTTACTGAAGACTAGGTCTTTTAAAAAGTGCAACAATTGGTATTACTCTTTTAAAAGAACTGTAAGAGTATCGAACAACGAGCTGATTGTCAGTTTATCACCTTCTGCAGATCTGTAAGTATGCTCCCAAAGTGAACATTTCAATTGGAAAATCTGCAGCTGTCTTTCAGTGTTTATATCTACTAGCGAGAAAAGCAACAGGATTAGAAAAAATAATCTTCGCTTGTTAAGAATGTATACTAAAAGCTATGGTCTTGAGTTGAAACGGTTTTGTCAATTATGCTCAGTTTTGACTATTACATTTAGAAAAATATCATAAAGAAAGTATATCAATCATTAATTTAAAAGTAATATGACTTTGGTCATCCTGGAGGAAAATTAAGGGGATAAAACCAGAGATTTCAATTATTTGTGCGGTGGTACTGAAAACATTCTCATATGTACTATTTTAGAAACTTCCTTTCCTGAAAAGGGAAGAAACTTCCATTGGTCAATTTCTGCTGAAAGAAAGGATTAAGGAAACACAGAGGATATGTCAGAGTTAAACTAAGGAAATATTCTTAAGCCTCTTGCAAAACATTATGTGGTTTAAAATGTTTTGACAAGTCTAACAGGCTTAGAATATATGTTACTGCATTTGAGAAGGAATGGAATGTGTATGTTTGAAATTTTAGGGAAGTTCTGTTACATTTCTTAAATGTAAGTTAAAAAGTCTGTTAGTGAAAAGCTTGTTTCTGTTGGTATGCTAGCTAGGAACACAGAGCCTTTAGAGATCAGAGGATGATTCCCTGCATAAGTTTCAACAATTAGTTTTGGAAATAGATTTTATTAATCTGATTTTTGCATGACAAAGTGACATATAAATATATTCCACAGTGCAGAATGCCCACACCTGTAAACACATTCTTACTAGCTAAGTATTGAAATCTCAGCGCCCAGATCATTATTACTGCTGTAATTATCACTGCTAAGGAGAGATTGTGAATTCTTATTAGTTATCACCAATCAGTTCATCATTGAGCACAGAGAAGGAGCTGGTTAGGCATAATTCGTATTCTTGTATTTTTCTAAAATTATGCATTTCTGTATTGTGTACAAAACTTCTTTAGCTATCAGCACTCTATGGGTATAGATTATTATAATTTCATAGGATTTAACATGTATTAAATGTGCTGCAGAAGACACAATAGGATCTATTCTTTAATCCAATCATGATCAAAAGGGATTGCATTCCAGTATTTCCTAGGTACCACAAGATTTTTTCCAGAACTGTTACAGAACGCATTCATTTTTCAAACCTTTGCATGGAGCACTAACCTGTTTCCCATTGTGAGTGACTGAAGACAAAATGGTTCGCAATGTCTTGAAACCCATAGCAATATCCAGCAGATGAGCAGCAAAGAAGAAGTTGTTGTAGTGCCCAAGGATAGACATAGTCGTGTACCAAACTAAGTATAAAAAGGACTGCAGAGAAAGTGAAAAGTGGCAGAATATTAGCAGGTGCTAATGTGTATTATTGGATCCAGAATATAGCTTTCTTTTAGTCACTTAAATTATGAAATGAAGTAATACTATCATGATCTGATTTGAATCACAGTTTGAATGTAATACTTTTATTTTACATGTTCAAAAAGACTGTCTTGTTCTGTCTCTTATCATCTCTACTGTTCATTTAAGGAGTGTTTATTGCTTAGTTATGCTAATGAGACCTCTATCTTTACATATTTAAATGCAGTCTTCAGCATATATGTTACTAATATCAAAATCCCCTACCTTAAAACTGTTTTGGCTGGGGAGGTTGTTACACAGTACTTTAAATTTTAATACTGATTCTGGAGGAGAGAAAATGCATTATATTACTCTTGAGACACTTTGTTTAAGTCTCAGACCACGTCAACCAGGACACCCAGAAAACCTGAGGCACATAATACAGCTTATTCTTTTAACAAGCAGTGAACCTGAAGCCACTTTGACGTGAAAGCTCTTACTGAAGAACAATGGCTCAGTGTGCTTTTAGTGCACAATGAATTTATACATCTTCACTTCCCTTGTTTGGGAATGCTCAAGAGGATGCAAAAAGAGGATTCACAACAAAAGAAATTTTAATATAAGTGTGGTCCTTTCAAAGGAGAAGGTATGAAAGAAAAGAATTAACCAATCATGTCAAACAGATGATTCAAGAATAAAAAAGGGTAACTTTCTGCAGACTGTGCTTGATTTTAGAAGAGACACCTTTGGTTGCTAGATTGATTTCTACAAAATTAAATGAACGAACCATTAGCTTCTAAAATGCTGACATTGTATTAATGGTGAGGAGGTGCATATTGCCCTTTAGAATCAAAAAGAAAATTCTAACATAAATTAAAGTAATTTGCTACAACACAAGACAGAAAAAACTATTTTAAAGTGGCTCTGTAATGCAATATTATTTCTGTATGTTTGTTTAAAATAAAAGCAGATGGTGGAAGACATACAATGTTTAGAGTAAATCAAAGCATATTCTTGTAGGCTAACATACTCACATTATCAGTGAAAACAACTCCGAGCTTCCAAATGTGGTACTTTGTATCAATGGAGCTTAACCTAGGAAATACAAATTTTTTGAAATACATCAATGTCAAAATTAAGTATTGAATTCTGTAAATATAAACAACAAACTAGGTTTGGCACTTCACATTTGTTTGCTGAAGGTGGTGATATACATTAGCTGTTTATTTTTTGAGTGATGTAGGTGCTTCATTTTTCAGAGAGTATTCATTAACTCTGAGCACCCATACACAGTTTCTAAACCATTGAAACTGGTGGAACAATTTCAGTGGAGTGATACTGCTGTATTCCACACTTAGAAAAATTGAAGTGTGTTAAAAGTAGTGAAATGTGGAACCTGAATTGCTTGAATTCAAGACACAAGTGTTCTGTCTAGTGTAAAATGTTGCCAAAACTACCAAGAGAAAAGGTAATGCCTTCTGCAAGATTCTAAATATTTTATTAGCCATTAGATGACATGCGAATGGAAATCCTTCTTCTTATGTGCCTTAAGTAGGAGCCTCAATCATTTGGGACCTGGATACTTTCAAACTCTCATCTTCGCTGATGGATTAAGTCAGGAAAACATCTCTGAATTTTTTCTAGGTACTTCGCATCTAGGTATTTGTTATTAATACTTTTTCTGTCCTTCAATTTATAAACTAACTCTGTTGTAACACCTAAAGAACTTTTAAATGCTGCATTGATTATTGGTTAAAATAAAAGAATGCCCAACTATATCAGTCAGCATCAACTTGTGTGATTTTTTTTCTTGCTTTTATAACACAAGTATAAGTATGTTTTAGAACAAACAAAAAGTTTTTTATTTTACTCCCACACTAGGAAGACTTCTCCATTTGAATTTTCCATGCCGAGGAAAACATCACTACAGTTTCAATATAATATCCATTTTTATCTTTGACAGTGAAGTTATGCCAACACATAATTTGTCTGTGAAGTTCAGAAGTCATACCACGATACAAGAGATGCCTCTTCTGGTTCGCTCTCTTCCACTGGACTAAAATCAAGGGCACTTTTGTCCAAACCTAAAAGTTCTGCTATGCGCTCTGCTCCATATAAGTCTCCGTACTTGTTAATAACCTAAAAATGGAAGAAGAGAAGCTTTTGCTCAGAGAAAGACCTCGGTGACATTCACCCTACTTTAAGCCAGTAGTTGTCAGAAATTTAAAAAAAAAAAAGTCTTTCACAATTGACACTACTAGAACAATCAGAACTCCCAGGAAGCCAGGGGAGGGGAGCATAAAAAAGAAAAATAGAAGCATTAAAGGCTATTATCTGAAAGCTTATGTATAATTTGCCATCATTTAAGCTGGCATGTTTTTCTTTTTTAGGGAGATGAGGGGGCTTTGTATCCTAAAGATGACAATGACTGTAAATTAGCGTGGCTGATTGACAGCACAAAGTTATTTCGAATGCCTGAGTCTAGGAAGGAAACCACAGCCTTGTCTTCCTCCCTCCTCCCACCTACGCTGCAGCTGCCTGTTCACCGAGACATTTACCACAACAATGACTTCCATAAAACAAATTTCAGCTCTCAATTATTTGTATATTTATGTGTACAGAAGTATATTACACATAGATATCCAAATTAACTGAAGAGTAGATTATTGCTATAACTAACATAATAGGAATATTAAAAGCCTACCTTTCGTTTTACAAATTTGTCCCAGTAATTGTTAGGAAAGGACCTACATAGATAAGGCAAAGATATTTCAAGTTATTTAACTTGTTAGGGGAAAGGAAAAAACAACGAAAGAAGAAAATACCATGTTCCTGATCACTGCAGATTGTGGTACAATTTCATTCACTCACACACTGCACTTCGAATTACGAGAACAATTTCTTTTCATGTGGACAATAGCTGTTATCAATCATCATTTGCTGCAATATCATCTTTTTTTTCCCTCCTCTTTTCTTTTTCACATCCACAAATATGATTGACTACAAAAGGACAGCAGGCTAAATATTATCACCTAATGAGCCTAATAACTCAATAATAGCAGGGTAGTAATATCTGTAATATCATTCCTCTCCTAAATAAATACTTTATTGCTCCTAGCCATAAAATCAATACGGACAATGATTTTCAAAATAAGAGAGTCTTGTAGCAAAAATAATTTTTAAGTTCACTGGATTACGTTTCAAATAGGGGCTGAACATTTGGAAACCAGCGGACAATTTGCCAACATAAAATTAAAATTCAAAAAATATTTAAAAAAACCCAGAAAATTGCAAAGATCATTTGGCAAAAACAGGGGTTAGTGGTAATCTTGTTCTCAGGTGTATCACATTGTTGTTACTGCATCTGACATCCCAGAACAAGACAAGGTAAAAACCATTTATAATTCTAAAGCTGCAAGACAGTTCAGCTAAAGAGCATTTTGCATCATCTGTCTCTGAGCAGCCATGCCCACACTGGTAATTAAAAGAAAAGCTTATTGTGTATAAAAAAGAGAAAGAAATTAAGCAGTAAATCTTAAATATTGAAGAGGTGTCAGGGTATCTTTCATTGAAAACTCCCTGCTTTTTTTGAGAGTAGTGAGCAACCATGATGCTTCAATAAGCAACCAGTTTTATCCAGGGGAGATCTTACAACAGACACTAGGAAATACATCAGCTTTGACCTGCGAGAAAAAAGATAGTGTTCTCTCTTATCAGTGACATTTCCCTGATCTTCAACTTGATCATAAAAAATATTGTTCTTGAACTGTCTTATGAATAGCAGTGCCAAGGAATTCCTCATTCGGACAGTCTTACTGTGTATTATGTCAGTTTTGAAGAATGCCAATTAGCCGGAAACACTACAAAATTTAAGGTTTTTCTTTTCCCATTTCCTGGATGTAACACTGAGTTGAGCAAATATGCAGAAAGGTGAAAAAGAAAAAAGAACTGCTTAAACTAAAGGACAGTATTGGTAAAATAAAGCAAGTGTTAACATCAGAAGAATGAGATTCCAGAACACTGTTCTGCTGGGATGTGAGGCAAACTTCCCATTATTACTAAGTGCTCGACTTTTTATTTTTCTGAATTGAAGTTCTGAATGAAATTACTCCAGATAAAGGCAAATGGTTCCAGTGACTCCGATGGTATATTCTGGTCCAATGCTCTGTATTATTTCTTTCTTTGATTTCTCAGACTTTTAAGCAAAGTATGTCTCTAATGTAGCCAGCTTGTGTTTATCTCTTTTGCCACAAACATCTAACGCTGCTGCATTTATCAGGGTACCTCTTTTGCCTTTTTAATTACTTTTTTTTTCCACTTACAGAAAGCACATCTCAGTATATACACAGCACTGAGTACCCTCCAGCAGTGGTTATCCTGATGGTACAATACCTGCACTAAACCTCGAGAGTCACTTCACATCAGAGGGGAGGATTAGTCTGCTTAAATTAGCCTTAATCTTTTATTCAACTTCAGTAGATAGTGCAACACGCTGAGAACACACTGTACAGCATGTCATTTGGGATAACCTGACAATGTATCTCATTAATTCATGCTTGTTTTTGCTGAGGATAAACTTACTGGATATCTAGATAGCTCACTATCAATAGTTAAAGAAATGGGTTGGAAATTAAGCAAGCTCTCGAGTTTCCCAATTACCTTCTATTGTAACTTCAATAATATGTCCTAGTCTGTATTTCTAACTGAAATTAAGGAAAATTCCTAAAATTCAGATGTAGGAAAACAAAGCATTCAAGTATTTCCAATATTTTAGACATTCTAATTTTAATGAAAGTACTAAGGGCACTATTTATAATGTACAAAAATTGAGTATGACTGGTAAGATAGGTATTTTGGCTATTTGGCAGCATATTGTCACTCTGATGCACTTAGTTGATTATTTTTGCTGGCTTGTTTTTATCAAACACTTATGCCTGCACAACTAGCCACAACTATTCTGTGACTTGTAAATAACTTTGTTCTTTTCCAGCTTTCTG